GTCACAGTATAGTGAACAGCCACTGGAAGGTGGATGGTTGTTAGCGAGACGAAGGTGCACAAGCAACCGAAGGGTCAGGAACTGAAGGGTCTCGAGAACTAAAGAGTCACGGGAATCAAAGGGTTGTGGGAATTGAATAGTTGCGGGAACCAAAGGGTCGCAAGAATTGAATAGTCGCTGAGCGTCTGAACAGTCACGGGGTGACGAAGGGTCTTAAGGAAGCTGAATAGTCACTGTCGCTGGTAATCGAAGCATCACAAGCGAGCACGCGCGGTGATAGCGAACCCTAAACCCTAAGTCGACATTAGCTTAGTCGACATTAGCCCTTTGTCAGACACAACCAACGTTACTCCTCGAAGCCACAATTGACGCTAGTCTTTTGAAAACACAGTCGAGGTTAGCCCTTAGAAACGCAGCCGACATTAGTCTTTTTGAAGACGCTCATCATTAGTCTCGCACAACACTTGTCAGTACCTTAGTCACGCATGATCAACAACATGACGCACATGGCGTTAGTCGTGCATGGAAGTAGCTGCTCTCTCAGTGATCCTTTCATGAACAGTGGTGAATCGTGCTCTGCAATGATCGTGTACAGCGACAACTTGGGCTAGCAAACGCTGGTAACCAATGGGGAGGCCTGACTTATGAAGCCTGTTGGAAGCCAAGTCCTCCAACACAATTGTGAACTCCATGTTGTTTTGTGGAAGGGCCCTCACTGTGAACATGGTATGCTCTCTATCATAGGCCTATTCCTTGCCAGAGAAGTCTGCTTTGTATTTTTGATAATCTCAATCAAAGCGCTTCTACCTTCTCCTAATGTGAGAGCAACTTTTGACCTGTGACCATCCTCTTTTCCTCAAATGCAAGAGCACTGCTTTTGATGCGAGAGCAATTTTTGGCCTATAACCATCCTCTTTTCCTCAGATGCAAGAGCAATGCTTCCGATGCGAGAGCAGTTTTTGGCCTGCAACCGTCCTCTTCTCAGATGCAAGAGCAACAGTGGGGTCAACTGTTCTCTTTTCCTCAGATGCAAGAGCAACACTGGGGTTAGCCGTTCTCTTTTCCTCAGATGCAAGAGTAACGCTAGGGTCAATCGTTCCCTTATTCTTAGATGTAAGAGCAACGTTGGGGGCCAGCCGCTCTCTTTTCTTCAGATGCAAGAGCAATGCTTGATAATATATCCCGGTAACTTCCCTAATAATGGGTTTCTGATTGTAACTTATAATTTTTTCAATAAAAGAATTAAGCTTTATTGAATTGACTTGTTCATTTTCCTTTTCATGTCATTTCTTTCTTCTATCCTTAACTCCTTTGCACGTTGAGTCTTTTAAACACGTATCAAGGATAATACTTCTTTAGATAGCACCCATTGATGGGGGGCATCGCCTCCTCTCCATCAGGATGTGCCAGTATGTAAGCACCATTTGGTGAGACCTTCTTGATTATAAAAAGGCCTTCCGACTTAGGTTCAAACTTTCCTTTAGGCCATCCATGCATAACTATCGTCCTTTTGACAATTAGAACCAGATCTCAACGGGTGAATAAGCGGACATTGAATGACTTGTCAAAGGCGCTCTTCATTCACCCCTGGTTGAGCTCATGATTCTTCTGAGCTTCCAATCTCTTTTCATCAAGTTCATCCAACTCTTGGTAACGAAGCTTGACCCTCTCATCTTCAGCCAGTCCTTGATGTATGGCAACACGAAGCGAGGGCAGTTGAATCTCGAGGGGTAAGACTGCTTCACCTCCATAGACCAAGGAATAAGGAGTGGAATCGGTAACATTTTTTATGGTAGTGCGATAGGCCCACAAGGCTTTCAAAAATTTCTCGTGCCAAATTTTCCTTGTTTTTTATACTGACTTCCCCAAAACACCACGTAGAGTCTTATTGAAGGCCTCAGTTGTTTATGATGAAAATCTGACAGATCTTCCGATGAAGATCTCTTGGATCTTAACACCTTAAACTTATGACTATGAAGTGGTAGAGAAAGTGAGAAAAATTGAATTCATATCTAAGGCCAGATCTGCCTAGGAACGAGCAGATCTACACTCACATCTGTGGTAGAGCCTACATGATCCAATACATTAAAATATGAATTTTAAAGCAAATTAACAGATCAAAATAAATAAAATAGAATCAAAAGAGTAAAAGAAGAAAGAAAGAAGAAGAAAGAATATCAAATTGGGCCGGATGGCCCGAGACTCCTGAGCCTTCTAGGGTTCGCCCGTATCAGCACTGGGGTCCTCTTTGCCTTTCTGATTCGAATGTTGGTCAGCAGTTCTCTGGTGTAAAAGGGTTGTTATGCCCTAGAAATGGTTTTAGAACAAGGGTTGTTGTGCCCTAGAGATATAGTTTTCTAGCTTAAGGCTAGGGTTTCAGGAGGCTAGGATTTCTGAAGCTAACTCTTTCTTACGGTTTTTAGCCTTTTCAAGAGAAGTCTGTATATCCCCTGTTTCTAACTTCATCTGCCCTTAAGTAGCCACGAAAAAGGGAAATACAAGGGCCCAGGACTTGTTGGAATGGATATACATCCATAACCAACAAATCTCGAATCAAACATATAAAAAAAAGGGTACGGATTTGGGCGATATGCCTAATGTCACTCAAAAAATTGGGCAAAAACATCACAAAAGGGTAGAACAATTGAAATTTTAAATTTGGGACAAAAAAATCTGGGCGACACTTGGCTTGTCGCCCAGTCCAGCCAGGGCGACACTACTAGTGTTGCCCAAGCCAAAAGGTTTTCAAATTAAAAATTTCCAATTTGAGTGTGTTCCTCAGCCACCTGTGAATCTCTCAGAGAAAATTTGGGTCAAAACAGGGCATTTACAGGATTCTGGGTCAAAACAGGGCTCTTGCAGGGTTCCGTGCAGGTAGACTGGTTCCGGGTCATAGGGCTATGTGAACTATGGATTTTTGGTTTACTAGGATAATGTGGTCCTAAAGGTTCATAAACCACAGAATTTGCCAAATTAAAAACGTGATGTCTACAGTTGCCCCTCTTTGGCACTCCCTATCCTTCGAGGGATATGTAAGTAGTAAAGAAGTAGACACTCTGGCATTCCCTGTCCTTCAAGGGGTAGGTGAACATCAAAGATTTCTTCCTGTAGTCACGTGGTTCGAGGCAACACCAACTAATCCCTCCAATTCATTGTGGTTACGGAGCTCACCCATCTAAGGCATTTTTCCTTTTAAGGTTTTTGACTTGAGAGGTTGGTGAGTTACACAAGCTTGAAACTCGAGTTGGATTTTCTGGCCTTGTCACTTAACTTCAAGGGTTTTGTAGTTTGAAAATTTTTAACCCTGTCATCTTCTTTGATTTCCTAGGAGTTTTCTAAGGCTGTCTATAGGACAGGCTATCTATAGGAAAAGACTTGTCTGGTCGAATCCAAAGAGAGAAATGAGGGAGCAATGCGGCAACGCAGTAATCATCATGTACGAGTGTCCAAGCTTCTTTGTCTTAAAAGTCGCTTTAGAAATTTTGAAAGTAGGGGGAGATTTGAAATAGAACCTGGATCAAGGACAGGTTACGATTTTAATAAAGAAATTAAAGTTTTTTAAAACACAAGACATATAGTGAAAATTTTTAAAAGAGAAAGTTATTTCGAAAAACAAGGTTAGTTAACCATTTTAACTCCTTCAACCATAGAGCCTTCTAAGCAGTTTAGTGTCATGCAGCGATGGACCATACACTCGACCCTTTTACGTCAATACGGGGATAGACGGAATACACCCGATCCTTTTACATCATACGGGGATAGACGGAATACACCCGACCATTTACGTCAAACGGGCATAAACGGTACCTACCTCGGCTCTTTTACGTCGCATGAGTTTGACATTTTTCCATCGAACAGGGTGGTTGTGCCCCTGGATACACCCGACCTTTTGCGTTATACGGGGCTAGACAGTACCTGCATCAGCTCTTTTACATCGCACGAGTTTGATGTCTTTCATTGAACAGGGTGGTTGTGCCCTGGATACACCCGACCTTTTGCGTCATACAGGGTTAGACGGTACTTGTCTCGGCTCTTTTAGGTGGCACGAGTTCGACATTTTATGAATTGGACTTTGGTTGGCAGTTTAGGCTCATCGCACCGATGAGCTTTTTTTTTTTTTTTTTTTTTTAGAATTTTTAGAATTTTTTGAAATTTTTATTTTTGGAAAATTGGTTGGCAGTTTAGGTTCATGCCACCGAGGAACCTTTCCTCTTCTTTTTTTTTGGTAGTTTAGGCTCTTGCCATCGAGGAGCATTTCCTTTTTTTTTCTTTTTTTTTTGAATTTTTTGAAACTTTAAATTTTGTAAAATTGGTTGGCCGTTTAAGCCTCATGGCACCAAGGAGCGGTACCTTTTTTTTTTTTTTTTGAGTTTTTTGAAATTTTTATTTTTGGAAAATTGGTTGGCAGTTTAGGTTCGTGCCACATAGGAGCGTTTTGCTTTTTTTTTTATAAAAAAGAAAAAATTGAAATTTTATTTTTTGGAAAACTGGTTGGCAGTTTAGGCTCGTGCTATCGAGGAGAGATTGAAATTTTTTTAAATTAATTAAAATGTGTGAAAACACTCATAAAAATACATGACAAAACCAAATTTGGTCCACACAAGTCCCCAAAATCAAGTGGGAGCATTTTTAAAAACATTTTTGGGCGACACGACTGGTGTCGCCCACCTAATTTTTTTTTTTTGCTGGAAATGCTGGGTAATACTAGGAAAAAAAAAAAAAAGTTGTTTTTTATTTTTGCCGCCCATACAAAAAAAAATTCTTTTTTTTGTTATTATTATTATTTTTTTATTTTAAAGGAAAACAACAATCATTTTTCACAAGCCTTTTTTTTTTCTTATTTTTCAATTTAAAATAAACTAGTGGTGATGGTCCAAATAGCTCTTTTGAGACCAAATGGTTACATTGAAACGACAAAACAAAAGGAAGCAACAAACTGCACTCAAAGATTTACATATACGATAAAAAAAAAAAAGAAAACGAGGACCTACTGATGAAGATGGAATTTCTCCAAGTCAGAGCCACAACTACATTTTATTCTACTCACTCTAGGAGAACTCCAAATTAGGCCCGTTTTTACTTGGGATGCATTGCTAATTGATGTTTTCCCTACACTGATGAGGATTTTAGTGAGAGAAGAAGCACTGTGAAAAGAAATTGAAGAGAGTTAGCTGCTAAAATTGAAGCCATGAGAGGGACCCATTCCACAAATACACACTCTCTGTTGATCCTCCCATCTTTCTGTCTCTAAGCTTCTATCTTTCTTTCTCCACTTTCCCTCTCTAAACCAACTCCCTCATTGCAATCTTATTTCATTCAGTTGGGGATTCATAGGTGGTCGAAAATGGAAGGCTGAGAGCGTCAATGGACGCTTGGGTTGGATCATATTTCCAAGTCAAAACACCAAGCGAAGGTACAAGTTCGTGCTTTTGATATGTTTGATGAAATGTCTTAGTGAGTATTGGCTTAGTTCCCATTTGTGTGGTGTTGGAGTTGGCATGCTACTAATTTTGGCTTAGTAAAACAATGTTTTTTTTTTTTTTCAAAATTTGAAAAACTTGTTTGAATTATGTAATTTACTTAAAAAACTTTGATTGTCTGTTTTCACCTTTAGTAAAAAATCGATTTTAATACAATTTCTTTGCTTCAAAAAATGCTTGAATATGACCATGATATGTTTGTTTAAATGCCTTAGTGAAAATTGGGGTTGTCCTCTTTTTGGATGGTTTTGAAAGTTGCATGCCACTGATTTTGGCTCAATAGAAATGATGATTTTCTTCCCCCAAATTTCGAAGTATTCCATTCGAGTAATCTATGGGCGTCTACAAAACAATCTCGAGATGTAGAGAATGCAGCCTCCATGAATAGGGACTGGTTCGGTGAGGCCACACCACAATAGTGTACGACCTACCTGTTTGAGGTAATTTGGGCCTAGAATGTACTTGAGAGGTCCGATTGAGGCCAAATTTGATCCTTGAGGGTTTTTCAACGTTTTGGATGTGATGGCGGTGGTCTGGTCTCTCTTTGAACCCCATCATAGGGTTGTAGTTGTAAAGTCTCTATGTTTTCCAAGGTTGCCTAGTGTTAGGCTTATTTTGCAGTGCTCCCTTGGTCTGACGGTGTCTTTGAGTATCGAGAGGACCAAGTCCTCATTGGCTCTATCCTTATTCACACCAGAGATTTAAGTACATTAAAAATGACATACAACAACTTGCCCCGACGGATGTTGCACTTCGAGAGAAGGGAGAAGTGCAACATTCACAATAAAATTGACCGTCGAAGTTCATCTTTCAAATCCTTACTAAGACATGTTTATTTCCTATCAACAAATATTTTTCTTCTCGATCGCCAGCATTAGCGCAATCCTTGAGGAGGAGATCATGCCAAGATTCTTTACTGAGGGGCGACCGATGTGGACTCGAGCGGTTGCGAGTTTTGCTTAAGGGTTTCCTTCCCAATGCTATTGGAAGCCTTTTCCTTTTATGGGAGAACGCATTGATAGGCTGCCTCGTATAGGGCTTACCACTCCATTTCAACGATGCCTCTTAATGGTCCAGCTAGTGGGTTCCCTTAGTGGTCGTTGCCCCAATCTAGCTGGTGGGGATGCTTTGGCTCTGGGGCCGAAACTTTTGTTTTTGGCTCTGGGGCCGAGGATTTTTGTTTTGGAACAAGGGCCGAAGATTTTTTTTTTTTACTTTGGGGTTGGAATTTTGGTTTTGGCTCTGGGGCCCAAATTTTGGCTTTGCCACTGGGGCTGGGATTTTTATTTTTGGCTCTAAGGCCGAAATTTTGTTTTTGGCTCCGGGGCCGAAATTTTTGTTCTGACTCTGGGGCCAAGATTTTTGTTTTGGCTTTGGGGTCAAAATTTTGTTTGTTTTGACACTGGGGCTTGAATTTTGTTTTAGCTCTGAGGCCAGAATTTTGTTTGTTTTGGCACTGGGGCCGGAATATTTGTTTTGACACTAGGGCCGGAGATTTTGTTTTAGGCTCTAGGGCCGGAATTTTTGTTTTGCCGTTGGGGTCGGCTAGTGGGTGCCCTTAGTGGGCATTTGATCCCATTCTGTTGTTAGGGAAGGGCTGATATGGGTTTTACTCGTCGCCTTTGCAATTTTCATGCTTGTAGGCTAAGGTCTTCTTCTTTTGGTCAAAAGTTGCATCAACCTATTCTTTTTTTTTTAATCCAAACGCCCTTTCAGGTTTTCACTTGAACTTGGTAGGAGTGGTGCCACAAGAATGGTTTTTGCCAACTCTTTTATTGAGGAACTTTTACTGGTGACTTCATTTTTACTCATGGCGCCCTTTGCCTGGTTTTCTTATTTTTAGGACACTTTTACTCATGGCTTCATGGCCATGCCCGCCTCTCATTTTTACTCGTGGCGCCCTTGTTGGTTTTCACAATGTCCTTTTTTTTTTTTGTAAGTTTTACCCATAGCTTCGTGGCTATGTCCACTTGAAGCTTCTATTTTTACTCCTGATGATTCTCATCATGCCTAACTTCTTCTTTTTTCTCTCAAGGACTCCATCTTGGAGGGGTTCTGCTTGGATAGGGTTTACTGGAGCAGCGAACACCGTAGATTAGGTGTCAAGGGATAGAAGTGTGACATGGCTGCATCATGTATGAGCGCGTGGAGAGCTTTTCTTTATGAGCCGCTAATTGTCGAAAAATGGGAGTAGAATGAATCTGCGAGTCGGCAAAACGTTCTCAGGGAAGGCAGTCTTTTTGATGACGGGCCCGCGTGTACAGGAAACATTGCTAAGAAGGTAGAAGGTCTCCGTGATAAGCCTGCTGATAGGGAAAAAGTGACGTCCGGGAGGCGAAACGGTGGGATATTGACCCTTGATAAGGCGACGCCTGGGAGGCGAAGCGGCGGGAGATTTGCCTTGTGATCTATTGAATGTGACACCTGGGAGGTGATGTGGTGGATGATTTCGCTAGTGATCTGTCGAAAGTGACACTTGGGAGGCAAAGTGACGGAAGACTTGACTGACAGTCAATCGAGGCATTGTCAGGGTGGCAAAGTGACGGGAGATTAAGCTATGGCTAGATGAACCGTCATCATAGTGACACATGACCATTGTGGTCTGACGAAACGCCGCCTGGGAGGCGAAGCGCTTTTTTGATAGGCATGTGGTTTTATAAAAAGACTAGGCAGAAGGAGTGGGAAGTGAGTTCCTTCTCTTCAAGAAGCTTGTTCACCTCTTATTTTTCTTTGTAGAGGGGGAGAAGAGATCTTCCATTTCTGAAGTCTTTGTCGGGAAGGCCATGCCCTTTGTTGAAGCTGGCGTTCGAGCCTTAGGTCTTGGAGCGCGTCCAAGCATTGCACTCCTGGGTGAAGATGTTGAACTATGCGAAGGTGTTGATGATGGACTTGGGCTAAATCGTGGGTTTGTGCCTTCTGATCTCCATTGTTTGCTTGTGATTCTGAGAGAAAAGTCTGAGGCTATGCATAAGATTCTGAGGGTCATCAGGCCTGAACCAATCTCGTCCATCCAAACATGATGACAGATTGTGATGGTCTTCGTTGGCCCATCATCTCCTTCATGATGGTTGACCAAACGAATGATCTAGTCAACTTGGATGTTCAAAACTTGGGTGCACTGTCAATAAGTCGAGTAGGAGATTTTCTGCTCAAATTTTCACTTAACTACCTCATGTTTCTTTGCCTTCACTAGAGGATGAAAAGGAGCAAGAGGCTATTTTCATTCTTTTCAAGATCCCTTTTTTTAGAAAAGAATGACCTCTCATCTTGGAAGACACTACTGCTTTAAAGGGCGGCAGCACATTTGGAGGGTTGTATCTCTAGATGGGAGACTCATTTCAGAACGGATCTAACTTTTTATAGCTACAAATTATTGTAACCACAACTTTGTAATCCTTTTTGTTCATGAAATAAATCTTTCCTTTTTTAATCCTCCTTCTTTGTGGCTTGTGTTTCTTCTAGTCTCATAGTTTGCTCGCCTTTTCTTTCTTTCTGTGCTTAGTTCTTATCCCTCTCTGATGATGGGGATAAGAAAAACGGGCTAAGAGACTTGTTTTGCCCTGAGGGGGTCATGCCAAGTGTCTAGCATGAATGGTTTGAATGCCCTCTCGGATTTTCATTCGAGCCATTAGGGTGCGCGTCATTTTTTGTTTTCGAAAGGACCCTGCTTTTTTTTTGTTTTTCTTTTTTTTTGGGGCACTTGACCGCTGAGGGTCCTGTGTGTGTGGATAGCGCAAGGAAGACAGCTCGCCTGTCTATCCAGTGTAGAAGTGCACAAATGTGTGTTGAACCCCTGGGGGATGCCCGAAGTTTGTGTGGGTCGAAAGGGAGTAATGCATACCTGAGATGGGTGGTGTTTTTGCTGAAATGCGCACACCATTTGAGCGAACAGAGGTGTGCACGGAGTGATAGAACCATGCTGTCTTTTTACGTCGAGTTGTTTATGCTCAGTTGTGTCGGGATCGCATGCCCTTTCGCTTGTGTATCACTTGTGCTTCTATGTGACGAAAACGAGTGACCTTTCACTCGTGTGACGCTTCGCTTTACATGTCGTTTGTGCTTCCGTATACTTGAATCACGCGACATTTCGCTCACGTGCCGTTTGCGTTTCCACGTGACTAGGCCACATACTACTTCATAGGTTTACGCGATACTCTATCCTTCTTCAGTTATAAAAAGGGCCCGCAGGGGTAATTTCCTTTGTTTTATATGAGATTTTTATCTGAAGTAAAAACCCCAATTTTTTCTGCCTGCACCTTTTTTCACAACCATTCTCGAGTAGAATCTCTCATCCTCGAGTGTTTTATTAATAGCAATGGCTGGCTCTAGTTCGACCCCTCATCAAGGTAGAGTCCCTCTTTCTCTTTGATTTGGTCTCTTTTCTTTTCTTTTTCTCTTTGATGTGCTTGTTCCTCTACTAAGTCTTGGATGTTTAGTTGATCGTGGCATTTACTCTTATTGTCTATTGAGTCCTACGGGCATGAACATTCTTCTTGTTCAAAACCTCTTTTGTTGCCTTCAGTTCATGGTTGCTTGGTTTGCATTGATAGTGCTCAAGCGTGTTTATGCTTATGTTTGTTTGTCGTGGGCTTTCCAGCCAAGCCGTGACTTGGTCGGTGAGAGTAGCCATGAGAAAATCTCACTCATGGCTGAGAAGGCTTACCCGAGGCATCTCGTGTGTTGTTGGACCTTGGCTAGACTTGGCATGTATGTTTTTTAGTCACGCTCAGTCTTTGCATGTGCTTTTTTGTTTTTGCTCTGTGCATGCACATTCTTATGTGAGCTTATTCCTGCGTGTACTCGAATTTGCACGTGTACATTCCGTTTGCATATTTTTCCTTTTTGCTTATTCTCTTTTTTGGTTCTTTGCGGTGAAAATCCTAGACGTGAACCAACTTCCCCATGAAGGGGAATTGGGAACCGACTCTTAAAC